CAGCTACTGGGTCCAATGTTGTGGCTATAACAGTTTTCCACAGTTACAAACTATCATATTTAGATAGCACATATCATATACTGTCTATGATACCAAATTAATTAATATCAGCAATTCAGTGATGATATCCAAGTAACTCTTGAACTTATGGCTGCATCTTCAACGAAAGGCAACAAGCCCTACTAAATTATGTTCAATAGGATAAAGCTTGGACTGGTTTCTTATTTGCCAACAAACCTTCAGGCTATTCAACAAGCTTAGCCTTGCTAGATTATGCATGATGAAGGTTTGTTGTCCTTTTGACAGTATGGCAAGCTATGATGAATTATTACTGTCAGATGATCAGTGATTACGGATGAACTCTGATAAGTTACTTTGGCCTTACTTTCACTTTCTATAAATTGTACTCTATGGATAATTGTGTTGCTGTCAATGCTTTAAAGACTATAATCTTCCTTTTTGTATCCCCATATGGCCCTCGTTTCAAGATTTACCTTATTATAATATAAAAACACTCCCGCTAAACTTTATATGCATCTAAACAAACAATATACAATTTTTTGCATGAAACACTATGGTAATACTAGCAATTCCTACATAAATAAATACAATATTAAATAATCCTACACTTCCGGAACTATAAGATCACCTAAAACACGGGAAATACAGAACATCTTGGCTAAAATGACAGCCAGTGCCGCCAGTGCCACAACAACGTCATCAACAAACATATGCAAGTCCAGCTGTTACTCACCACCTCATCATCATCCGCTTCATCCACATCTTCCGCTGCAATGTTGCGCTTGGGAGGCATCTCGGTTGCAAGGTCTTCGAAGGCGAATGCACCTGCGGGAACACCTGGGGATGATTCCTAGTAGACCTTCCGCAGCTAAATCCCGCGGCCTAGCAAGCGTTCATGGCTGGGCGAGATCTGGCGTCCATTGACAACATCCAGGGCCAGGGTTCGTGGGGCCGAATCCGCGTTCTTTTAGGTTATTTGGGGAAGGAATTTGCACCAATTGGATCGGGCTTTTAGGGTATGTGGGGAAAATTCGAGGGAAGTTTGGCTGATTTATTGATTATTGTTTTTTTTTTTCTTGATCACTATCTGTGGTGTTTAAAGGAGTTTGTTAAAAATTATATGCTAAAATAACAGAAATAAAGAGAAAAATATATATGGTAATAATAGTAATCATGGTCTAAATGATTATGGTGATGATTGTTATATCCTTAATAGTGGTAATTTTATTTTCTTTATGATGATAACAACAATTAACGCTAGTGATGATAATGATAATGTAAATGATAATATTTACATGTCCTGATAATAACGATAATAATGATAATAACAGCAGCAGCAACAGCGGCAGCAAAAACGACGATAATAATGATAATAATAATATCAGTATAGCAATATCAACAACTACAGTAACAATAATGATAATAGTAACTATAATGATGATAATAATAATAATAATATTATTATTATTATCAAAGTCATAATAATAAGAATAACAATAATAATGATAATAATATTAACAGAAATAACAAAAAAAAAAAAAAAAAAAAAAATAGTAATGATAATGATAATGATAATAATAATAATGATAATGATAATGATAATAATAATAATAATAATAATAATAATAATAATAATAATAAATATAATGATAATAATTATAATAATAAGAATAAGAATAAGAATAAGAATAGTAATGAGAATGTCAACAACAATGATATTGACAACGATGATATTAGTAAAAAATGATAATAAGTAATAGTAATAATGATGATGACAATAATAATGATATTGATAATAATGATAATGGTAATAATAATAATAATAATGGTGATAATAATTATTATTACAATAATAATAATAATAATAATAATAATAATAATAATAATGATGATGATAATAGTAATAATAATAATAATAATAATAATAATATAATAATAATAATAATAATAATAATAATAATAATAATAATAATAATAATAATAATAATAATAATAATAATAATGATGATGATGATGATAGTAATAATAATAATAATAATAATAATAATAATAATAATAATAATAATAATAATAATAATAATAATAATGATAACAATAATAATAATAATAATAATAGTAATAATAATAATAATAATAATAATAATAATAATAATAATAATAATAATAATAATAATGATGATGATGATGATGATAGTAATAATAATAATAATAATAATAATAATAATAATAATAATAATAATAATAATAATAATAATAATAATGATAACAATAATAATAATAATAATAATAGTAATAATAATAATAATAATAATAATAATAATAATAATAATAATGATGATGATGATAATAGTCATAATAATAATAATAATAATAATAATAATAATAATAATAATAATAATAATAATAATGATAACAATAATAATAATAATAATAATGATAATAATAATAATAATAATAATAATAATAGTAATGATAATAA